TGTATGTATGTATGTATGTATGTATGTATGTATGCATATATGTATGTATGTATGTATGTATATATATATATATATGTACGGCACGATGTATACTGGGGAGCGTACGCAACGAAATAAGCCACACAATGGTACTCCTATCGCTGTGGGGGGTAGTTAGTGCAGATTGATGTAAACTAGGACCTACAGGTAGTGTCTGGCAGTCATAAACATCCGGCTAAGCAACTTTCTTCTCTAGAATACATATTTCCCAATAGCACACATTTATCTACGCATACTTGCATGCATACGAATCATCATCTACACACCTTGCCGTCTTTCTCGTGGAAAGGGTCGCCGTTGAATGCAACACCGCACTGTGAGCAGAAGAAATGGTCCTTGTGCCACGTACGTCCGAGAGCGTTCACGACACCGTCATTGATATGCTTGTTACAGTAGGCGCATTTCTGTGAGTTGAGTTTCTCGTAGTCATCCTTACAGTATGGCTTACCCTATTAAGAGTTAATAGTGCCGAGATTGTCAGATGCATCGTATTGTGTCGGATCCCGCAGGGGTTATAAACATGCGCTTTGGGGCGCTGCGAAGCCTCGTCAGAGACTTATCTCTGTAACTATCGCTGACATGAAGATAACATAACGGAGACCTGAGCAAGACGAATGCTCTGACCATTCGTTACAGCCCTATAGGTAGAAAACTACCAGATACAGGTACAATCATATGTATTCTTTTAAAAAGACAAACTTAATTTAAAGTCGAGTGCGAATGCTCGCTGTGTAACCAACCACAAGCCCAACTACATTGTTGATAGGTGTTTACGTCATGTTAGCATATATGTATATTTTTCTAAACACAAGTACATACAAGCAGGTTCATGTACAAAAATGACTTTCTATCAAATCTGCATAACTATTCATATTTTCATACCGATGTATATTTCACACTTGAATACATAAAACTTGTTCATACATACAAGTACATACATACAAGTATATAAATACAGTTACACGTGTATTTGAATATAACTTAGTACACTTTCCTATACAATGAGTATGTAGTTTTCGCTTAAATTGTGCCTCCGTGGTTTTCACACCCACCTAAGATCAATTTGGTCAACAGACAGTGTCACATTCATACACGCATACGAACAACAGCTGAATAGAGAGTCCGTGATATATACGTTTGAATATACGCCTGCAGCGATCTCGCCGGCGGAGTCCTATGATAGCAATTCGGTGTTGCATTCACACGACGTCCAACGTCAATCCACATCACAGTGTTATCCACATATGCATGGCATGCGGCATCCAGCTATGAACGTTTTGGACCAAAATGCTAACAATGACCTACCTTTGTTTGGAAAAACAGGTCAGAGGTCAGTACTTCCTTGCAGGTCGTGCATTTGAAACACCCCTCGTGCCAGTCTACTCCCAGGTACGTGTTGACTTCGCCTTCAATGCCCTGCTTGCAGCCGGTGCACCTCGGAAGCTGTTTGCTTCAACCGTTGTGTGAATATTAGAACACAAAACTAGCGAATGCGTTAGCATCGTAATCGGGAACCATTTTACACCTTGTACTAGTATTCAACTTGCACTGCCTTAATAACCTTGGGTTGTCGGGTGGTTGTCAAACTGGGTTTTCAAAATCCTCTTCGATGGACTTCGGACATAAAGGTGTAGTGCTATGATACTGTATAATGTAACCATCGGGTGACTCGCACTCAATATGTGTATAGAGGCACTGACTGACAAACACAATGCTTGCCAAAGTCAGATACCTTGCCACAGCTTATGCTTGGATACTTAACGCGATACAAAATGGTGTGACAACATTACCTGAAGCGTTGCATATCACGCTGTGGTTAGGGATATTCATCGAAGTATGCAGAAGGGATATTACACTCAGAATATATACGAACGCTGAAATGTAGTCTATTCTGGAGAATCACGCACGCCATCTTCACCCAGACAATCGCCCCAGATATATAAAGAGGTACATCGCACGCAAGACACCAATAAGTCTGCGAAGAATATGAAAGGTTTAGAATTTGCACACACAAAAATGACTCATATATGAGCGCAGTAAACGTGACACGCACACAGGCACGTTCAGTTTTGAATTTGAAAGCTTTTAGTCAAGAAACCCCCGCACACAGTTTCAAGACACCAGCATTCCTTGTGATCGGACAATACGGTAATGTGGAACACCACATATCTATACATCGACACACGCCTATAGACTGTTCGAAAGGTATGGGTGTATGCTGCTACAGGCGTCCACGCTGTGCTGAGGTGCAAAAGCATTTAATTGTATGTACGAAAACACGCACTCGTATACGCTCATCAGTACACATGATTGTACTCGCCACGCATGCGCAGACGTTTGCATGGGATGAGCCGTAGACTCCCACATACATATCAGCATGACCATGCGCTTGTACATTGATATGCAAATGCAGTTGCATATACACCCACTCACACGAACAGTAAAAAAGTGAAAACACACGCCTTCGTTGCACATGTATCGACAGACCCTCAATTTTATGTACATTCACATGTTTAAACCCTCACCCAATACACACACACCATGCTCGTCAGTACATATACATCCATCCTTGTAGCACACAAGCACCACGCACCTCTCCACTCAAACACACATACGCTTCCCTGCAGATCCACTCACATCCATACACCCGCCCAGACATAAGCCTCACACCACACATACATGGGTATCCGCCAGCGTCTCTTGTTTCTCCACACTTTGAGGGCCGACGACTTCCACCGACAGTTCGGTCCTTGGCTTATTCCTGTTGGGCCTGGGAGGGATTGTGGGTGTGGTCTTGCACTTGTCGTGCGATTTGCTCTTGGTACTAATATTGGCCGCCTCTAGTTCCGCCAGAATGTCATCGATGCTGTCCTTGTCGGCAACCTTCTGGGCGGGTGTCTCTGTTGTGAGTGTGAGGGGCATACGCCAATTGGAACGCGCACGTGGTTGGCGTGAGTATAAAAAGAGTTACGCTTTTTAGCGCATGCAAACTGCGTTGTGCCAGGACTATAACCGTACTTGCAACTCGCAATATTCCCATGATCGTGTGCGTGAAGGCTGAGGCGTTTGTACATACACAGCCGGTGCATTTCGCCTGACAGCGGTACACTTGACGCCTCACTTCTACAGCTAGATAGTCACTATAGTCACTATAGTCACTAGCTGTGAGACGAATGACTGCTGTTTTAACCAACAAGCGACATGCAAATCTGTACTGAAGGCTCACAGATCGGTATCGACGCGGCACTGCGTATAGCGGTACGTGGGACATGAAAACAAGTGCAAAAGCAAAGCTCCTTTGTGTTTGGCATCACTACATTGGACCATAGCCAAAATTTTTAACATGCAGAGCACGGAAGGAAGCTTTCGCACATATACTATCGATTTGAATATATATAGGTTTAAATTGGATGTAAGTAGTACATACTTCAGAGTGCCTGCTGAGTGCAAGTTCTGAAAATTTCGAAAAGATTTATCATGAAGTGGTGTGATTTTCTAGTTGATGTAAGCATGATGTATAATAGGAGAGGATAGCATAATAATAAAATTTTCATTCTCTCGGCGTTGTATATTAGAACGCCATGTACTGTAACATATGACTTCTGGTACTTCGCAGTTTTCTAAAATTACAGAATCTGACACCAATCTACTTCCGTTACGCCACACCATGGCCGAGTGAGCACCACACTGTGGTACTATCTGGTCATACACATGAGTTAATTTTGATCATATACAATACCTACGCAAAACACTCTCCGTGACAATGTCTCAAGCAAGCTGGCCCTATGTCATGTGGTAGACACATGGGTGTAGGTCTCAGGTTTCGTCGTCGTATCGATACATGCCCAAATAAGGCCTACATATCTGACCTTGTTGTAGTACTCATGCTTATCCGGAGTATCATATGTATTCTCGAATAAACCACCCGGTCAATTGTCAAAATACGCAAGTTACGGCTTTCTATGCGACAAATGTTCATGTTAACATCAAGTACGTCCAGAAGGGGACGAACCTGCCATGATTGGCTTACTGATTTATCGTGTCAGATATGCCGCAACCCGCATATGCAAATTGAAATCCACACACCTTGCTTAACTGGTGCAATGGGCTCGACTTTATTGGGCTTCGGTGGAGCGAGTGGAGCTTCAAGGTCCAATAGCAGAGCGTCTATTGGGTTGCACGGTTGGTAAAGTATATGTTAGGATCATGGAGTGAGATGAATATATTTACATATATATTGCTCCTATCAATGTAGTAATACGGACATCGAACCGCACCTCAAATAAGGTCGAGTATAGACGAACTGATATTGAAGTGCACTGCAATCCAGCAGCTATTCAGGTCGCTTGAACACCAATAAGCTCCAACAAACCGAATAAAAGCAAATGTTTTCCAATTTCTAGGTTCACATTCTAGATGCAATAGCAGAAACAAAAAGCATTGGGACATATAAACGAATGTGTATAATTACGTATTTATATCATAAACTTATATTGCTAAC